TTGTTTGCACTATATCGGACGCTTGGAATTCGGCAAAGATGACTGCAGTCACTTCCATTGTGGTTTTACTTCCGCTTTCAAATTGAGTTTTGGGTTTGATTACATTCTGTAGATAATGAGAAATGTCATCCCACGGAATTTGTGCAACCGGTATACTTCAATAAGCGGTTTCTTTTGTGCACTTTGCCAAATAGACTTAAGAATATTTGGCTTTAATTCTACAATTTTACTTGGAGAATGCTTTAGTCATGACTGCGCTTCCTGTCTGCCAAATCCAAACGTGCATAATTATAGTAAAGTGTAATAGTGGATGCCTTGGAAGATAGGTTAGCGTCGATCGCTTTTCATAGCATACCTTACTACGCTATAAAGCTTCCAGCTTCCACAAAAGAAAAAGTAATAAGTGCCTCCAATAACCTCTTAAAAGTGGAGTTCTTATTATTGCGACTTACATCCTCCATTAGTTCTTCAATAGCAACCCAGAAATCCAATCGTCGCTGAACCCTCAACCAGTCTTCAGCTAGTCGTGTAGCTACCTCATTGGGAAGCCCACTTGTGGGTGAAGCACCAATGGCTAGAGTATGAGAGCCCTGAAGTGTAGGTTTACGCTTATCCGCCAGGTCAGACTTATAGCGGCGCAATTTCATTGTCCGTATCTGTGGTGGGCTGTTGGTCCGTTGATGCTGTTGATCAGCCACCTGACGATTAGTGTTTAGGTGCAAGGGGCCCCTATTTGTTGTTATTCGTCGAATGATGGTGCTGCTTTTAGGCTCTTGAAGGCTTCCATGCACCTGAATAGAAACAGATTATACTGTAACGCCACAGTCATTTTACCTTCTTAGGACTTGTTTCGCAGCAGAATCAAATCAGATTATGGATTACCAAGCCCTTTAATTTTGTACAGATTTTCAAAAAAAAGTTATCAGGATTCCCACGATGGTGCATGTAAATGCGCTTGCAGAGATAAATAAAGTGGTGGCGGCGCAGAGCTTATTCAAACCTTGTAATAATTGAACCAATTTTTGGAACCTGAAGATGGGACACCTGTACAAATTTGAATCTTCTATAGACTGGTTATTTTTTGAGCCAGGTTCTTCAAAGATATGCCCATTCAACATATTGGACGATTGTAGGTCTACTGACAGGAAAATTCAGTAATGTGGACAAACAAGTATTTTAGTGGTTTTTGAAAGTTGTCATTCACCATTAACATCTGCAGAGGTAGTTAATGAAATGCTCAAATTTACTCTCCGACTGTCCCATTTTCTTTATATAAAGAAAGACTTGCAATTCTAGTTTATTGAAGGAAAAAACTAACAAATTGTCACGTTTTTTAGGGTATATCACGTCAAATCTGTTCATTGTTAAGAAAGGAAACAATTGTGCTATTAGAGTATCGACATACGCATGCTGAAACCACGCAAAATCTGGCAGAAACGAGGCGACAAACACGTCAAAAATGCGTGATGACTTGCGAATGAATCATCGATAGCTAACCACAAATAAGGAGGCCCTCTCATCACAACTTAGTTGAGTAGTCATCAGTCGTTTCTCAACGTGCAAGGAGTGAATCTTTTAGTCATGAGTTAATGCATGCGGATGGGAGAGATTAGATGTCAAGCCTTTCACCCACCACTTATCTTCACCCTTGAGGCATTCCATCCAAAACTGACATAAGTATATACTGGTAAAAAGTTTACACCTCACAACTTAATATCATCTGCTAGATTAATTACACAGACAGCTCAGTTTCTGTAAGTCCGAGTTACTGCCTTACAGTCCTTCAGCTCCCCTGTGGTATGATCAGACTCATTTTCGGTGAGTCTGAAACGCCTTGTCTGTGTTATGAATGGTTGAACTCTATTAACATGGGCGAGAAATCAGATTTTGCCAGCAAAAGAGACAGGATGGGGCTGAACAACCCATTTCAGTCTCCGTTATTTGACAGGTGGAGAGGTGAGTCTGCGAAGGATCTAGCTGCCTTGAATAGCACCGAATTGGTAGATTATCGTAGGATAGGCCGATTACTGCCCCTCCCATCAGGGTGCAGCCTTCGTTCCTCTCCTACGACATTTGAATTCGAGTCCAATTGACAGCCTAACAATATTGTCTTCAAATTCATCAACAAACTCTTCACATACTTTATATAGCTCGCAGTGTTTCAAAGACTAATCGAGGGTTAGTATCTCCGGTGTGGTAATAGACAAGTAAAATTCTTTTACCTCAATAGAAAGCGCATAATCCGCCAGGCTGTTGAGAGTTTGTCGATTGAGCGGAAGGTGAAAAACGCGTCTGTGATCAAAGACACAGCGTTCTGTGCGTTCGTACTCTCGAGTTGTCGGATCGGGAGGTGTTTGACCTGAAAAGGACTCACGTTTGGGGAGCACAACAATTGGTTCCTCCAATCCAAGCATTTGATAGTGACAGAGGATCATTCCTCCAAAGGAATGCGGCACACCAATGGCCTCATGAATGGCAACTCTCACCTCTAATACGTTTCTAGAGTAATAAAACACAAATGCATAAAAAAAATATGCGCACATTATGTAAAATCAAAGGTGAGGTAGAATTAAAACCTAGGAATTGAATTGCATAGTTTCTTGTAATAGTTAAGTGGTTCACTACGCAGGTTATCCAATCCATGCTGCTTGGCCATCCATCATCCTTTGGACAGTGTCCGAAACGCAGCCATGAAACAATCATTTTGAGGCATCCGAGTTGCACAAGAGTAAGAACGACAAGATTACGGCCTGTTCCACATATTTTGTTACTTATATCCACTCGAGCATCAAAGTTGACAAAAAAATTAATTGACAATGGAAGAAGGCTGGTTTAGTTCATGCATGAAGATACAAATTTCAACATCCGTAAATTTTGGGAGAGTTGGAGGGGATAGTATCCAAATGTCAAACAGTAACGACAAATGGGCGCGCACAACGCTCTCATTTCTGATACAAAAAAGTCAACTAACCCTCCAAAATCACACAGTTCACGATCCAGAAGGTCTACAACACCTGCTGATTCGCTTGACCGTTCCGATCTAGAATCCTCCAAACGAATGGTTGTTGACAGCTCAACATTTATGCGCCCAGAAACCTTAAAAAAGGATCGGATGAGTGCTGCTCCTAGTAGCTAGCCAAAAATGATTAAATAGCTTAAACTATCCTAATTAAATCATTCTTACACTTCTATCAGTCTGTCAAAAATAGAGCTTTAATAAAATAACTCATGCCAAGGTTGCCCAAGGCAGGCACTCCCAAATGAATTGGATCAAAGCTTGTGTCAAGGTGGTAATACCTCGCCTTGTGGACTGAGAATCGGAGGTTGGTAAGAGAATTCACTAATGAACAGCAGACATCGAAGGTATAAATTTGCCACGCCAACCAGAACAAGATCGCCGTTTTTTGTGTGCAATTCTTGATGTCTCGAGAGCACTTTCTAGACGCATGCAGGACAAAAGAATGTCAACCAGTGTTCCTACAATGCTACTGCTTTTGAAATAAGTAGGCAGCAGCGCAGGCTAACTTGAGATAAGAAAATTCAAGTTTTGCCAAGATATGTTTAAGAAAAACCAGAGCTTTTAATAATGAACAGTTTTGGTAGGCGGGACAATCTCTCTCATAGAAAATTTCTGGCACCACCAACCGGGATGGCATATCGTGGTAACATGCACATGGAATAATGCAGAGTAGCGTAGCTTCCAATAAAAACATACGATTCAGATCCAGAAATCATACGACCAAGATGTGGAACTTAATACGGCGATCAGTGACAATTCCAGTCATGGTGGTCCCAGATTTAGTCATTCGTATGTAAACAGCTGGCGTCTACCTAATAGAGGGCTATTGCAAAAAATCTCATTATGGGCTTAATGACCGCACCCATAAAGCCAGATTACAATGGTCACCATGGTCAATCCATGAGAAATGAATTAGGCATTGCCGTTGTTAGATCGTTTAACTGCGCTTGCAAATCATCCCACACAAAAGGCACTGAAAGGTGCCTATAAATTCTATGGGCTAATTTTGAGATGCTTTCATTCATAAACTCAGGAGTGTCTATTTGACTCGAACGTCGATTACGTTCACCGCAGAAAAAATGACAGTCATACTTTCACTTCGTTGGTGAGATTGGAAGAGCCACTGAGAGAGACACCACTGTCCTCATTCTCGCCTTGGTTTGATTCTAGTTCCCTGAGGTTGTATTGCATTCGAGCGAGACTCAATGACCTCTCTCGAACACCTCCACGGTGTAATTCGATGACAGGCTCGCATTGGAGCTGACGATGCTCCTAAAGGTCAAATAAGTTGAAAAAAGATCAAGCGATGATTAGTGGACTAGCAATGTCAAGTCTGTAGTGGGAATAAGTTGGAAAGTAAATCCTCAGCATTTCTGCATGCCTTACCCGTTTAGCTTGATTGAGACAGTGGATTGGCACTTGGAGGGAGACGTGATATCTCACATTACTGCGACGCTCCTTAAGCAAGGCGTTAGCGCGTTCTGCCAGCAGATTTGCTTGAACAAGCTTTTCACGAATCTCTCCAAAGTCGCCCACCGCATCGTTGAGTCTAGAGGAGCGAAAACGATCATGGATGCCAAAAATAGCGTAGATCAGAATGTCGCAAAGGTAGGTGGTAAAAAAACCACGTGGTGGCGAATTAGTTATTCATGTGTGCTGGTTGGATTGACAGAATTCTCACGTGTCTAACCACTTAGCGGGCTTACAAATGTGAAATCGGCTTCCAGAAACTTCCAATCACCCAAAAATGTGATTACTGATGTGATTGACATTCTACTGCACTTAAAGCATGCTTCTCTGGCATAAGCATGAGTCACCCGACCAGCCAACCAGTGTCGGACTGAAGGAAGATTTGTTAACGTATCATAAAGGCTAAAACTTCGCAATTCCCTTTTTTGTATGGCTATTACGAGAACAGACCTTGGGGTGTTGAACGCAGAAGGGATATAAAGAGGACTCGAGAGGACATTACGGCCATGTGCATCAGTCGAAGAGCCATAGCGATGATTGTCGAGCATCCGTTGTATAGACGAACCACTAGAAGGGGATGCAAATGGACTCCTCCGAAGGTGACGTGATGTCAAGGCTTCATCTACAGCCGTACAAAGAACCCAAGTCGAATTTTATTATTGTTTACACTTTTCCCATTAAATCAGCCTTATAAATTACGCTAATTTGTAAATTTTAGCTCAATGCATAGGCTGCTACCACATTGGCAGAAGGCGAATGTTACCACCTCCAACCCCATCTCCCTCGATGGGAGGGCGTGTATCGAGGGCTTAGTCACACACCCCATACGCGCACACATGCACGCTTACGCATGCATATGAATGGCTCGGTTGCATCGGAGCGCTCGTCAATCGATAACAGCTGATGAGCGCACTGACGTGGCTTGATGAAACATGCATATCTGGTGTTTGCAGCTCTTCCTCTCTCAACCCCGTCATGTATAGAAATTCCCATAGATCTCTATCAGCCATCCCCCTATCGCCCTCTTCCTTCGTCTTCCTCAGCCCTCTCACCTCCTCCTCCTCCCATCCTCCACCTCAATTCAACCAATGCAATCGCAGAGAAAACAACTGCTTGGCTCGAGGAGCAGAAACAACACTTTGCTACCCTGATGACAAAAAAATAATATCGGGATTTAATTATGAATGGTGTTTTCTATTTCCAAACTTATTTCAATAAAAGCTACGAGTTTTTTTTACCTCATTTAGAAGTGTTTTCTACCACCCCTCATTAATTTTATGCTCTTTAAACAGTGTTTACGTTGGAACAACGCAACAGAGGTGTGATTGAGGTGCGCATAGTCTTACTTGGATTGGTCCGTGTCACTGGTCGACATCGCATTCGTATGATAGGTTTGGGATTCGGGCTCAGGGACTACAAGGAAGAGGGGAATTATTTTAGACGGAGGATATTTTTTGTTGTCTAAACAGCCCCCAAATCTTATCGTACCACCTAGAAATAACTACGAAAATTGACGGTTTTCTTCCAGTCCAGAAGCTTACACCTCACTTTTCTACCCGTTTGAAGGGGTCGAACATTTCAGCACAAAAATGAGAAATGCCTTTGACCTAAATAATCGGATTCCCTACTAGTAAACTTGCAAAAATTCATAATTTTGTTTAAACTTACAAAGTCGTCTGCAGGATTGTCGTCAGCTGTACCGTTGGAAGGACTCATGCCTAAATGAGGGGTTGGTAGTGTTCTGCGATCCATTGTGGCTATCTACACATAAATTTACCCGATAGAGAATAAAGTGGTAGTAACCAGCATTTTCGATTCATCACAACGTGTCATTCCGAATTAAAAGTAATTAACTTCAGGAGACTCAGAAGGTCTGTTAGTAACCCAGGAGCGGCTATGTATGCATATATACATATAAGCGATTCAACTGTCAAGACAATAAAGAGGGCGCAAGAACGTACGAATTCCAGTGCTATGCTCACACACAGAGAAGAGCGCGTATGAGAAAGTTAAACTTAAAAGATCCACATTGAAAACGCCTGTGGAAGTACCACCATGAATGCCTACTGCCAAGGATGTTGCCTCTGCTGCGAAGTGAGCTGAGCCGAGTTGAGTTGAAGTGAGTTGAGTGCCCAACGAAATATGAGCACGCCAATTGCGTTGGCGTGCATAAATACCACTTGTGTACCACTTGCTTGTTCATGCACGCAAACACACACACATTCACAATCTGCACGCATCATCCGTGTTGATTGACAAATTTGTGTGAATCGACGCAAACCAGTGTAGCAGGAATATTTTCTAGGTCCCTTTCGAGAAGCATTAATTTAACTTTTGTGTTCTTTACTAATTGGCAATCCTTTTGAAAACTTTAAGGCTCTGTCAAACAAGTAGAGGTGAATAAACTGCAGAGTTATATTTGATTGTCTATATAAGAGGATGGATTTTGAGTGAATCACACTTTAGACAGGCACCTTAAATTACTATAGTATGAGGATCAGATTGCTGGTGATCGTGAAGAAGAGTTGAGACCGGCCTTTGGATACAAGAGTTGCAATCCTTGAGGATCATCGGTGCAAGGACAACGCCTCGATCGCCATTCATGTGACTTCTCGACCTAATTTAAAGCAGGACAAAGTTCTCACCACGGAGCGGTGTGAATAAGCTTGAGAATGAGCGGTACGAGGCGTGGATACAAGAGACAAGAGGATGTCTCATCCTAGCCCACCTATAAATCTTTGATTGTCTTGAAGACATATTGAGTATCTTGAAACTCCCAAAAGTGCAAGTTTCTAGACCTACTTAGAGGAGTTGGGTCACCGCTATCGTTATCAGCAGACCTTTCTCCATGTTTCCTAAGGGGAACGCAAATGTGCGCACTCATTCAAACGATGTAATGTTTTAAGTAAAGCTGCCATTTGTAGCTCTCAAATCGTGTCCTCCTTTATGTTTATGAAGTGGCGTAAAACGTACCAAATTTATATTTACTCAGGTTAAACAAACAAAGGCGCAACGTTGGTCGATTGCATAGTTGACAGGGCACCTGCACCACCCTCCCGACTTTGGGTAGTCAAAGCAAAGAAAAATTAATAACTGCACGAAGGAAATAGGCGGGTTTTTCCACCATCAGCTTTTGATGACTTAACCTTCATTATTGGCCAAAAACTATACCTTCTGCTGTTCACCGCGAAATTCGAGCGGCCAAGACCATGAGACATATAAAGTACCTCCATTTGTAGTTTTTTTCTAAGAGTACCTCTTGTCGTTAAGATCCAAAACTGCCTTTAATCGTAAAAATTAAGGGGAGAAAGTAATGACACTCCTGCGTACCTCGTAAGTGCGCAGCAGGCCCGCATTATTCTGGGCTAAAACCCAATCCAAATCAGAATCCGCGTTTCCAATTGTCTCTTGTTGCCGATAGCGTTGACAACAAGACCAATGCAGCAGTTCTACTTTTCCAAGAAAGTCATGGGGGATGTTCGTGCCACCGTAGGGATTTCAATGAAAGTCTATGCAATCAGAGGACTAGAAGCATCGCATCCACCAGTTACAAAAAAGAGAAGAAAGACGCTTGATACAAGTTTGGTGATAAGTAGGGGAAGATGACGCTTTCCCCATACTTAACAGGTGAATGGAATCTATCTGAATGACCAAATAATAACACAGAGAGTAAATAACTCGGCAGCCTCATTGACCTACTTCACAAAGCCTCGAAAATGCTTGTGGTAAAGCAAGTCAGACTGGGAGCCAAATCCATGGAACAATCCCACCAAATTCGATGCACAGGAACAGAAGAACAGATGACTATAAAATGATCCAGACGAGCCAGCCACATGCATAGATTCATAAGGATTCAGATTCTCTCACCTTTACAATAACAAAAAAATAGCTTTTAACACCAGATATGAAAATATTTACCTGCATTCCCGTCCAATGGAGAGCGTGGTAATAACAATATCGAGTATAAGTGGATCTCAACGACAGATGGATTGACGAATGATAACAAGCATTACTTTTCAATTGATTGGCTGTTGAATATACTGTCGATGGTGATGAATTTCAGTGGGGATATGGCACCTTCTTCCTCAGAATGGATCAAAGGGCGCAAAGAAAAACTACATCTACACTTTAACGAGGCACTATCTAGCTTAGTCGGTAAAGAAGGACGGTGCTGCCATATTCTCACCCTCCATATTCCTGTGACAGCATTTTGTTCAAGTGATCTTCACATTTTTGTCGTATCAGAAAACCATAAAATCACATACGAATTAGGCCTTCGCGAAGCAAAGGTGAAACGGAGGCGGTGGCAAAGAACTGGTTTTTGGCTTCTAGAGGCACCATGTTTAATGAAAGTGGAATTCGTAGGTAACATGTGACCTGATGAAAAGTGCAGAATTGATTTAGTCGGTCTATGATTTCCATGATCCTCCATTTCTTTTCTAACTGGGTCAAAATGTGGTTCTGGCACTGAACCACCCACTTCTTTGGAAAATACGGTTATTTAACCGCTTTTGGTTCCCGAAACTTCCGTTTAGGCATGTCACTCCTGTCCTCTCTGTACATGCAGAAAGAAGATTCAATTAATCCCCCAAAGCTGCTCCAATCTCGTTGCATGATCACTTCCCAAACCATGAGTCACAATTAAGGTGAAAGTGTCATGCTAGGCAAAAGATAATTTTATTGTCGAGGAAGAAGGTCTAGTAATCGTATGAGAGCGAGAGAGAGAGATACGACGTTAGGGATGAAGCGAACAAAAGAGGGAGGAGAGGTACGAAAGGCATGCTAGGGAAGGATTAAGAGGGAGAAACCAAGGCGGAGCATCAAATGCATCATTATCAGTAAGACAATAGCCATGATAATGTAATCGGGTGCGAAAAATGACAACACACACAAGCGTACGCACATACACAAAGTGTTTCTTTGATATAGGAAACCCAGATACTAGTGTGGTGAACTAGAAGTCGAGACGGAAGCCGGGGCAAGTGAGACCGTTGTTATTTCTATCACCACCAGCAGTCACCAATTGGATGGTCGAACGCTCAGCAACTGTCAGAACGTCGATATTGTCACCAGCCAGACGCTTCTCATTCAGTGAAACCCACTCCAGCAGAGCAGGAGTATCATGCGACAAAATGAGTGAGACCTCATGAGTGTCCCCAACCGGTGTTGACTTGTCACCTGGACAATAAAACAATCCCCCTCAGTTATTAAATATAGAACCAGCATTGCTTTATCTAAGAGAGCGATGACATACTAGATGAATGCAGTGTGAGTGTGGGCACTTTAAAACTCATTGTTGCCAAAAAAAACAGTGAAAACCAAGAGCAAAATAGGTGCAGCAATGGGGGAGAAAACATTATAGACCGCATAATATGACCAAAGGGTCACTTTAGATTGTGACGAATCAATTGGAGAAATGTGATCTTTTAACTTTGTTTTACTACGCGAGCTGTAGACTTCGCCCTTTCCTATGTACCACTATCAGCGGCTTTTGTGATGACTACAGGGGAGATGCGAGAAGCTGCACAGCGAATTAATTTATTTCTTCCAGAGCTTCGAACAAAAAACGGGCCAAATAAAATCTTTCGGCAGCGCTATTTAAATTAAATAAGTAGAGAGTTCGATGAGAAGCGCAAAGACTAAGCCACGAGACAAAGGCTATATCTTACCTATTCTGGACATTAGAGACACGATTCTGGCTACAAACAAGTGACAAAAAAGTTAATTCATTGAAGAAAGTGTGAGATCTCCCATTCTTTTAGCCCTTAATGAGGGAGAAAAAGAAATTAAGGTGAGAAAACAGACAGCATGGTATTCCTGCTACTCTGGTAGAGATGAGTGACAATTTGCTCATTACAAACTGTAGGTCATTTGACTGATGAACTTCGTCACCTTCCACTGACTTCCGCATGGGTCGGCACGCCAATGATAAGTAAAGCAGTGCGAACTCCCCAATCGGGAAGCAGTCATCACGTTGAACCAAGCATGATTCCCAACTCTTGACCAATGCATGACCTTTGGTGTGGTAAAATTGTACAAAAGAGACTCACTCCAGTCCTAACAATCAATATTGAACAGCTGGTCAAAAGCGTTGCTTGAGTTGAAAGAAAGTAGAATCCTTAGATGTGCCTCACTATGAGACGTGACAGGTCCTACACATAGCATTTTATTCTGATGTCAGAACAAAGTATCAGATAGCTGTAAGAAGTAGGCAGTTCTGGAACGATTTCGTCCTTTCCAGGTATTACTTAAGTGCAAGAGATAGAATGTAAGCATGGTGAAAAGGAATGTTCTTGTTATTACATTTCATAAAAGTGTGAAATTGTCAGGCATGACGGATGTCATGCACCTACATTAAGTGGATGGTTGTAGATGGCCTGTGAATTTTGGTTGCATAATAAGACAATAAAAAGGCATAATTCGATAATTTTAATGTCACAAAGGGGACGTACTATGCCAAGTCTCTTTGCCAACAGCAAGAGCTTTGAGCAGATTAGCAGTCGGAGCCACAGTGTTAGCAACATAGTAGCGAGCAAGAACGCGTTTGAAAAATTCAGCGTCCACGAAACTTACATCCCCACCACCAGGTAGGAACGCAACATCCACAAAAGTACGCTTAGCAAGTTTGTCGTAGAGACCCTTCGAAAAGCCCAGTGAGGCCTCATAGTACCCCTCTTGACAGGTCACTCCTGGAGACGTCGATTTCGCGCCCGTTTGTCGTACTCCTTTAGCTAGAGTAGAAGAGAAGGATGGACTTCCAAAATTGTTCGATGAAACGTGGGTACATAAAGAAGCAACCCCATAAAAATTTTCATTGTTTTTAAAGAAAACTCCCTACATGCTTGGTTTTTCTTTTCTGTCCAATGGTAGAATGGTTTACAATCCTCAACTTCGCTATTGAGGGTACAGCAGCGTTTAAAGTAGGATGATGAGGAAAGAAAGTAGACAACAAATGCATAAATAATATCAATTATCGGCGCATAAAATTGTGTTAGAACTCCCATCCCCAACTACTCATCAGTTAAACGACAATGATGACATAATCAGGTGAGTCGAACACAAATGACCCAATTTACACATTTCAAGGCAAGCAAGGCCATACGGTCGGTAGAAAACACAAAAAAGAGGGTGTAGGCATGTGCGAGTGACTAACGCTTATGCAAACACATACACAAATGCACAAGCGTTGCGTAGAGAGGAACCAAACGTAGCGCAAAATTTGGCAAGGCAAACGCACTTGCATTCACTCCCATCATCCCATCACGCTTAGGCAGTAAGTCATCCCTTGAACTCGGTTATTAAATTTCTGCCTACATTGAAATGATGGAATGAGATAGACAATTCTCTTGGACATAAAAATAGTTTAAAGAATTCAATGCATGCAAGAGAATGTTCAAGTCAAACAGGTAGTCTTGGATGCATAAATTTTGCAATGATTTGCTAGCAGATGAGAAATTTGTGGAAGATATTTATTCCTTTGATTAAAACCTTTCTTCACATTGAGGTAGAGCTTTTAATAAGTTCATGTACTCACAATACGCAAGAGAAAGACTCCTTTCAACGTGGTAGGAGGTATTACCGCACCTTCCGTGTAGAAAATAACCTGTCAATGCAATGGGAGGTTGTCCCAATGTCTACGCACTTTTTCAACCACCACACCTTGCTGTGTGTACACACTCATTTACTTATTCACCAGACGCCCGATCTGGATGTTTGCAAGCTCGCCTATAGCACTTGCATTGTAGACCAGACTGGCCTGGACTAGCATGTCATCATGCTCTGACAATTGGCAGTCGTCGAGTCACCAATTTTTCATCCTAACACAGTAGTTTACATTTTTAGGTTAAAAAAATCAAATGTATCACATTTACCATTCGGAGTGGTGACAGACACAAGTTTAAAAGGCTAAGACGCACCTGGGACACTGGAGGGAGCCGGCATGGCTTGAGGCTGACCCCAATCATGAATAGGATTCAGGAGTTCTGCTTCCTGCTCCATAGAAGCATGCTGCTCACCATCCAGCAAATGAGCTTCGTCCGCCGATTTAGTAAGAGACGTCATCACCTCATCTTCACCATTCACTTCTTCCATCCCCTCGGAATTCGACGACTGATGATCTGCTTCCGGTGTCAATTCCGCAGGCACTTTATTCTCTGTTAAGGAGAATGGAAGGGAATTGCAAGCTAACTAACACAGTTCTTCCCTCTCATCACACGAGGGCTCAGCGATAAGAAAAATGAGCAGCCAACCTCCTAACTACATTCCGTGGTTAAGTAATTAGCATTGGACATCAGCAAGTAAGCGGCAGAGGTTTAAAAGAGAGAAAAGTCGCCTAATTTAGTAAAATATATCACCTTACATAAAAAAATTTTCTAAAAATGGTCATTAAGTAATGAGATTCCCGGTTCACTCATGTTTTCATTTACTCACGATATTCTCACAATGTGTCAGATGGAATGACTTGATGAGTGTGAATTGGCGTTGTCAGATCTACACAACGAGTTTAAGCCAGTTTCGTGATTGAGTTTCGTACTTAAAAAAGTGAGTTGAATTTGATTATGGGTTTAGACAAAGATATTGAATCATATTGATGGAGGTGTCCATGCTGAATCATTGAAAAGGGTTCCCGTCTGTGAGTATCGTTGAAGATGAATGAATGCACAGAGTACTACAATGACTATGGGGCTTTTGTGCATCAAGGTATGCTATGTGAGCAACTTTATAAGGCTTAGACATTTACAATTGAATCACCTACTAGCTACCTGCCTACCTGACAATTTCATCCCACTACGTCACCCTCACATAAGAGACTGTCGATGGGATTGTCTGGTGAATCAGCAGGAAGACAATTCCCGCCATTACAAGGCAATCCTTGACCCTACATCCCCACAAAACCTACCGACGGAATTATGGGTTGATGATGGAAGCCTCACCTCTAAATGTCCATTCTTCCCACATCTTCAAGTTATTTTTTGTCCTTTTCCTGTCACTAAACAATGGTAGAATGGCAGACAAAACGAAACACAAGTGGAAAGGAAAAGTGATATGCTTGTTGAATCCAGAGGCTTGATAGAAACGTAAAAAGAGAAATGATCTTAGCTAAAACCCACAAATCCCCCTGCAGTCAATCCTATCTCTACGGTTGCGTTCCGCGGTAGACAAGGGATCATGATTATATCAACTACGTTATACGTGGGCTTAGGAAAGAAACGCCTACCGAAACCACGACTTTACTGGACAATCACATTTCGGGTAGAAGCCATTCACCCATGTTTATACGTCAAGAGGTTCACTTGTTAACTCACAGTAAAGGGGAGGACGGACAAATATAGAATCTTGAAAAAAAATTTCAAAACAAAGCACAATTACCTTAAAATTGTCAATTTTTCAACAGTTAAACAAACCTTCAGCCACATCAGGAGATGGTGCATTTTCCCTTTTCTCCTTGATTTTATTTTTTCCTTTCAATGGAGGGGCTGTCTTCGATGGCATCAAAGTCAGTTTTTGCGTTGTTGGTGGTGCACTTTTTAACTGACGGGCCTCAATTTTTGGTGCTGATTTTGCCGGTGCCTTGGTAGTGGTGGCCGACTTCGGTGTATGCGAAACGACCCTTGGCGCAGAGGTAGTCGCGGGTCGAGCAGAGGCCAATTTACGACCTGAGCCAGATGCCATGGTTGGTGGAACAGCAAACGGATCAGCATGATGGATGTAAGGTAGACCAACATGCAAAGCCTCCAAAGCTGTAAGAACACGTAGTTGGTGTGCGTTCGGTGCCACAAAGAGAATACGAAGAAGGCGATCCGACTTGCGAGCCGGTTTCCAAACCAATAGAGCTGAGATGCTCAGTTGTGATGCCTGGAAGTAATACAATAGCGTTTAAGAGAGGAGTCAGTTATAGTCTTTTATTCAATAGGTATTGTATGAGAGAATTGTGTATAGAAGCAAAGTTGAAGAGGAGATGTTAATGAGGTTTAAGATTGTGAATGTCATCCACATTAGCAAAAGACAGCAAGTCTTGCAGACGTCCATTAGACACTGAAACCTTGATCTGTGAATTGTAGGCAACGGTACGCTGGTGAAGATCAAATAATTAATTTACACGATACGACATAACTTCGTGATAAGCGAACGACAACGCACAATCTCTTTTGTCGTATCATCTCGAAATTTATCAATGATTTGTGAAAAGATCGAATGAATTCTAACGAAGATAGAAGAGGGGCATTGCCTTGCCTTCGAACTTAGTGACGCTAACAATGCGGGCATTTAAGGAAGAATGAGGAAGATTCAGTGAGACAATCAATTTGCACCTCTACTGCCGTGAACAGAGTTCGAGGGATTGTCTTACCTATCCGAAACCCCATAGCTCCACCTTATTCTCTTGTGACAACCATTAATCACTCACATCCGTTTCCTCTTCGTGTTAGAGAAGCCTAACTGCACCCTCACCCAATAGGCAATACTTCATAAAAAAAATTTTTTGATAAGTTATTCCCTTGAATAAAATGCTAGCATTATTCGGAGATAATAAAATTGGTACAATAAACCTTCCTTTCCCTTTTTGCTTTGGATACCTTTTCTACCGCCTCTTCCATTACTAAAAGCTCAACCAACCTCAGAATCTTTCTGAATTATTAAGAAGGCGGTGCTGATTAACTGATAGTTGAGACTTAGGGCACTGCACTATTCTCTACTGCACTACTCCCTCTCCCAATTACTGCCATCGACAAGCTTGTATTCCAAAGTGAAACTATTCGACGACCAATTCTTCCAGTGGACTTCAAAACATGATCAAATAGTAGATGGAATTCGCATATCCCAACCGAAAACGCTTCATTGGGATGATGACGTTTCGAAATAGGGACGAAAAGTGCATTTTATGTGGGGATAAATCGAAAGACTTTCAAGAAGACAAAGGAAAAGAGAGGGAGAGCAAGAGGATTTAACTTCACTCATTCGCCATATGAAAACTTTCTCCAATCAGGCAAAAGCATGTCAAAGCAGTGCAACTAAGCAAAAAGTGGGAATATTTGTTCCTCATCATCAAAAAATCGTCTTTGCATGTTATAAAATGAAAGTGAATGCGACTGATACGAGGCAGGAACACGTCGCTAGAGCAGGAGGAGGACAAAGGATGTAAGTAAGGAGGAACAGACGCAGAATATCAACTCTATAAGGCGATAAATGTAGATATATCAACCTCAAAGATGCTGTTCTCGTTTCGTTGGCTAGTCAGAGGCTCCAAGTGCCTCGGAAAGAAGGCCTATCACCTACTACTCACATCGCCATCTCGCTTCCGGGAATAAAGTACCTCACAGGTAATGCATTCTCCGCTTTCCTACCAGCCCTACCCGAACTCGACATAGGACGCCGATTAAGCATTCATCGAGCATGTAAAAAGCCCAGTTTTCCTCTACGAAGGTAATGTGATTGTAATCGTGTACTTGACTACGTTTGGTGATCACGAGAAGAATCTCAAGGGACGAATCTCAAGAGAGAGTAGGCGCACAGACTTCCCTCCTCTCAATATTTGGGCACAGCCCACCATTATTTCATGTCAAATTGATTGAGTCCAGGGGAAATTGCTTGGTTTTTAACGAGACAACCTGTAGATGAAATAGTTGTCTACAATCTACGCTAACGTTCCTGTTTCCGTCTGCTCCTCAAGAAAACGAAATGAAGAGATATGCACCTTGAAAGTTTAGGAGAACTTCATAGTGTTTGCTAGGACATTAGCCATGACAAGACGATGGAATAAACAGTGATTTGGTGTTTGTTTCTACGCCTATGGAAACTAGAAAGCGGGTTGATAACCATCGGTGTTTACTTTCATTCAGAAATGAATGATTAAATGTGAACCATTTATTTAGCTTCCCATTCATAATATTGTCAGTAATTAACACGCCCTTAACACGCGTTTACAAGCAGCAGACCAATTGAGAAGCATAAAAAGTAGTTTAGGTAAATTTGCTTCCAACGGCCTCTGCAGATCAAATTGGATCAATCAAATGCGCGAGTTGAAGCACTACCCAAATTAGACTTATGGGAAAATTGTGGGTGGAGGAAGGATGAGAATGAGAAACAAGTGACCAGTACACGTTTTCTAGGCTTTTTAATGCATGAATGCATACAATTACATCCATTACGAGCTAAATGCAAATGAGATTCGGACAGTGACAAATTATAACAACTTTGGAATCTTCAGTAGATGGAACTTACAAGTGGGATACCAGCCTGTTTAGGAGCAGTGACATGACCCTTAGCAGCAGTAGCGAGCGCTGTAGCCACACTGGAAGCAGATTTTGTCCACAGTTCCGCCAATTTTTTAACATCGATCTGATCCTCCTCGGTTGGAGTGAGTGGGTAAAGCTCGAGGCTGCCAAATCCGGCCTAGAAAAAGTACCAGTAAACGGTAAACGCTTAAATTCCCAGATGAGCCCTTTCCAAATTAGTCATTGTAGCCATCAGTATCACATTTATGGCACTCAGCAGATTATATCTAAACCTACATTTGTACTCATCTTTTGATGTACACATTCAATACGAATAATATGTTTCATGCACGAAAATCAAGGTGACACTTCTGCAACGGTGGCAGTCACCTCATCCATACACTGAATAACAATGAAAAATAAACTCCTTTGACATCGATATCGCATTAGCAATGCCTTTTTACAAGTGAGTTCATTAGTAATCAACCAAAAGTGTTTTGAGTAATTCAAAACTCCGGTATTCATTAAAAGATGAAAAAATTGAATATTACCTTCAAACTACTGGGCTTACAAACACCGATCAGTCTCCTCTCAGTCTATCAAATGGAAGGCAGAAGCATCCATACCGCACTTAAAGCCACACAACCTAATCCGAGGTCTGTACTAAACCATGTTACTGCATTGCGCGTAAATAACCGATGCCAGCAATGACAAACTACTTCCCATTGTACTACGATATTACTTAGAGCTAGCTAGGCATTTCAAAAATAGGACAGACGCTTTGCGAAGTAGCTAACCTTGTAGAAGAGGGGCAATGGTTTCGGCACTGCAGACATCTTAGCACCCCGGTTGACCTCTAGTGTGATGAGACGCGATTCTGTAATAGCAGGCTTCATCACATGCGCCAAATCACCTACTATCTTGACCACATTCAATACCAAAGGATCCGCAGGAGCAAGTGCGGGCGGTGGTAGTGGCTGGGATATCATATAACCAGGGGGTGGGGTCAAGAGACATGTGATCCTAGGCAGAACGGAAGCGCTGTCGGAAGAGGCCATAAGAGCGGGCAGGAGGGAGGCCAGACCCAAAGTGTTTTCAGCTCCCCAGTGGGTGTGCAAAATGGCATCAATACTGAAAAATTGAGGGACAATAAAAAATTAGTTGAGTGGACTCAGATGCCTTGTGACTAAAAACTTTTCTACTTTTGAATATTTATTCAGAAAATGACGTTTATATGCGCATATCATGGCGACCAATCCACGCCTTGCTGATTGGTACCTCCTTAGTGGACCTCCTAAGATGACTCAGAGCGGTAGTGGTAGCAAGGGTAAAATAATTCGAAAAAGTGAAAAAATCCTTGCTTTGTAGACTGGTTACCAAGTTTAAACGTCAGAGGAGGCAAGTGAATGTTTGGATTAACTGAATTGGCGAGGCTTTAATGGGGACACCTTAGACTATCAGGTTTCGAAGACCCCTTCTTTTCCTTTCTCTTTAGAATTGAGGGTTCGATCAATGACCGCAGGCGAAGTGAGGTCAAATTCCAAGGCTCTGAATCCAACCCCTAAACCTTAACACCTAATCGTCCCGTGCCTTGGCGACA